TAACTGCCCCAGACAGGATGAGTTACATGTTCCTATATGCTCCTGAAGTTCCTGGCACATATAATAATCATCTTAATAAGGGTAATAGGAGTAATAATAGTAGTAAAAAGGTCTAAGTTATCATTTACTGAGTGTATCTATGAGCCAGGTGTCATGCTAAGTGTTTTGCATGCATTATTTAATGCACAAAACAAACCCTAGGGAGGGAGATACTATTATTATCCTCAGTTTATAGATTATATGAATTAGGAGTTAAGTTTGGCTGCAGGTAGAAACCTGTTCATGGTGGCTTAATGAAACAGGAACTTATTTTGCTCCAATAACAATCAATTAGAGGTAGATGGGCTAAGGCTGCTATGGTCATTCCACACTACCATTCTTAACATGTGGCTTCTGTCACTGTGGAGACAAGACATCTGCTGTTTTCCAAGCTGTGTTCCAGGCAGGAGGAAGCGTAAATGGCAAAGAACGAAGGGTAAAGAGCCTCTTCTTCTTGTGATTTTGTCTGATTAGTTGGGAAGGGGCACTGTCCCATACCTACCTACATCTCGCTGGCGCTGGCCAGAACTGTGTGATGTGGCCACCCTTAGCTAAGAGGGAGCCCGAGAATTCTACGTTTTTTTTTTCTTTTTAAAGCTGGGCAGATTTCTGCCCTGAACAAAGCTGGGGGTCTGCTGGTAAGGAGTTAAGAGGAGGCTGGATATTGGATTGGGAATTACCCATACTTGCTACACAAATGAAAAAACCAGGGCATCAGAGATGCTAAGGATCTTGTCCAAGGTCAGATATGTGGCCAAATTAGATTCCAACCCATGTCTGTTTGACACCAGAAGCCATTTCCTTGACTGCTAGGAAAGATGATCTCCTTATTGTGATGCGTTATAATTGTCTTTTTTATATGTTCATCCCTTCCCTAGACCATGAGCTCCTTGGTACTAAGAATCAATTTTACTCATCTTGGTATCCCAGACTCTTGCTCATAGTTTGTTAAATGGGTAAATGAACAGGGGCACCTTTGTGACTCGGGTTAAGCATCTGTCTTCAGCTAAGGTCATGATCTTGCGGTTCTTGAGTTTGAGCCCCCCGTCCGGCTCTGTGCTGACAGCTCAGAGCCTAGAGCCCGCTTCAGATTCTGTGTCTCCCTCTCTCTCTGCCCCTCCCCCACTCACGCTCGGTTTCTCTCTGTCTCTCAATAAATAAATCAGTATTAAAAAAAATACATGGATAAATGAATAAATAAATACATGGATAAATAAATACTTCAGTAGTTCCTTCAGCTAAAAACTCTTTCTAGGAGGGGCGCCTGGGTGGCTTAGTCGGTTAAGCGTCCGACTTTCACTTAGGTCATGATCTCGCAGTTTGTGGGTTCGAGCCCCGCGTCGGGCTCTGTGCTGACTGCCAGCTCCGAGCCTGGAGCCTGTTTCAGTCTGTGACTCCCTCTCTCTCTGACCCTCCCCTGCTCGCGCTGTCTCTCTCTCTCTCTCTCTCCTAGAAATAAATAAAACATAAAAAAAATTAAAACAAAAAAAACCTCTTTCTAGGAAAATATTCTTTAATCGTCCCCTTCCTCTGTAATGTTTTATAACCTGCTCCCAAACAAGTGGCTGTACATGTATGTGCAAGAAATGATCCTGTCTTCATGCCACCATGGGTGCCTCTGGCTTCTTCTATTACTTACAGGCTCCAAGTCCCTCTCTCTCTAAATGCTTAATGCTTATTTACAGAGCAGGGTCCAATTTCTCTTTGTTCTGCCTGGTCATTCAAACATTCCCATACTACCTCACTCTATTTCTTAGGGACCGGTGCACTCCTTGAATAACACTAATTTGAGTCACAAGCAGTCCTGACCCCAAATCTCATTTCTTGCCAGGTCATGGAGTAGGCCAGAAAGGACCCAGCATCATTTAGCTTCTAGTATTTTGGTAAGGCAGATATGAAGGGGAGGAGAATTCTTAGGATACTGGTTTAGAAGGTAACGTTTTCAGAAAGCCAAGCACCAGTGTCCTTAGTTTAAAAAAAAAAAGTTATTGTTGGTCCACAGGCCACCAGGAAACATCCTGATTTTTCCACAAAGCCGTAATGTTTGGTTTGACAGGTTCAAGCCCCATCTGCTGTGAGGTACTGTCAACAGGGACCCCTGACTTAGGTTGGTGCTGCCTAATTCAGCTCAGGAATAGGCTTGCAGGCATTTGAACTTCCAACTTAATGGCCCAAGTAGCAATATATTTTTTTTGAAGCTTATTTTATTTTTGAGAGGTGGGGGAGGGGCAACAGAGAGACGGAGAGGGAGGATCCGAAGCAAGCTATGAGCTGACAGCCTGATGCAGGCTCAAAATTCCTGAACGGTGAAATCATAACCTGAGCGGAAGTCAGAGGCTTAACCCACTGAGCCACCTGGGAGCCCCCAAGTAGCAATATTAAGACATGTCTTAATACTCTCTTCTCTTAACCACCTTCTCTTACCAGCTCCGTGGGCCCCCAGCCTGTAGCTTACAATCACTAAACAAATTAGATGATAAATATTTACCACTTCTTAAGCAGTCGCTATGTTAGGCGCTGTGCTAAGTGCTTTATTTTGTCTCATTTAATACTTAGAACAACACTGTGACTATTGTTGTCATCTTACAGACAAGGAATATAAGGCTTAGTGAAAAGAAGCAATTTGCCCAAAAGAGTGGTTGCATGAAGGGGTCACTTGGGGAGCTGTCTGCTCATCTTAATCTCTAGCAGTTGCACCCGTAGCCACCTTATGTAAATTTAAAAACCCACAGCAGTGATACTGATACTCTTTGATCTTGATAATGAACTTTTTTTCACTCTCATTTAAAACGTGAATAAAATGATCCTGATAATAGTAATAATAGCTAACGTTTATTGAGTGCTTACCGTAGGCCAATCTGTTTGAAGTTCTATGTGTGATAATTCATTTAAGACTCACCCTAATCCCTTCAGGGAGATGCTGTTATTATCTTAATTTTCAGATAAAGAAAGTGAGGCATAGAAAGGCTAGGTAGCTTTTACAAGGCACCATGACTTGTAAGTGGCAGAGCTAAAACTTGACTATTTTCATTGATCTATAACTTAGCTTACGTTAAAAAAATATGCTTGGTATGAAAACTTGGCTTCAAGGCAATTCCTTCAGTCTTCCTATCCAAACGGTGTGCAGGCCCTAAAGCCCTTCTAACAGAAATTCTTAAGTTATCACCGGTCCAAAACCATATGGGTAGTAGGTGGTAAAGCTTGGATTCAAACTTGTGTTGGTCTGATTCCAAAGTAGGGATCTTTACCATTGTATTGTTCCAGTACTAGCCAGGTTAAACCCAAATTCAAAGGACATATCATAGACCCATCTGGAAATGACCTTAGAAATCATCTAACCAGGGTTTTGCAGTCTCAGTTTATTGACGTTTTGGACTGAATAACTGTTGTGGGAAGTATCCTGTTCGTATCAGGATGCTCAACAACATTCCGGGCCCCTACCCGCTAGATACCAGACACCCTTACCCCCCCTCCAGTTGTAACAAACAAATATGTCTCTAGGTGTTGACAAATGTCCTGAGTGAGAGAGGAAGGCTAACCACTGATCTTAAACCGTCTCCTCATTTCACAAATGACGGAGCAGGGGTCCAAAGAGATGAAGTAACTTGGTTAAGCTAATTAGTAGAATCCAGGTCATTTACTCAACATCACTGTGTCTCTATAATGTACACAGCATAGATGGAACTCACAGGAAGTAGATGTTCTCTTGGTCCTTTAAATCTGGTAGGAGACAGAAGCTATTGCACATATATATCTGCTTGTATGATGTTGAGAAGCAATAAAGTATGACACGGGCAGCGAGGTGCAGAGAAAGAGAATATGATCTGGTGTCCTGAGATCTGAATCTGCCACTTTTTAGCTGCAGTACTTAACTGAGCTTCAGGTTCATCATCATTGAAACATAGATCATGGTATTCACTCTGCCTATACCATCAGCTTCAAAAGGGGTATGTGAACCCCTTGTGCAAACTGTAAAGCTCTTACAAACATCGGATATTATTAAGATGATCAGGAGTAGGATAATAATGATGATTAAAGTCTTTCAGAACTTGGGAGGGCCATGTAGTGGTGGCTTCATTCCTGGACTTTCCAGCTGGAGATCCCCGTTGTTCTGCGCGAGGCGGGGAAGGCAAAGAGCCCCCTTCCACACAAAGACTCTTTCCTTGTCTGGAACCAAGGCGGCCACCTGGGCGAACCCGGGTCACAGCTCCGCGAGAATAACTCTCCACGGCCCTCTGGTCTCTCAAGCTCCGCCCGCCCTGGATCGTGGCCCCGCCCCCCAAACACAGACCCCGCCCCCTCCGCCCTGGCTGGCACTCCAGCGGCGCGGCGCCTCCAGGACAACCCCTCGCCCGGGCCGGAGATTCCCGAACTCCTCCGATCGCTTCCCGGCCTCCCTCGGACGCCCGCAGCGGAGGCGGCGGAGATTGCCGAGGGGCGCTGGCCCCGCCCCCGCCGCCGCCGCCGCCGCCGCCGCCGCCGCCCCGCCACAGCCTCCCGCGCGGGCTGGAGTCCCAGATCCCGGTCCCTCCCTCCTCCTTTCTCTCCGCCCGCCTTCCCGGGGCTGCCACAGTGGCGGGTCGGAGGCTCCCGGCCAGTCAGCTCGTTCCGGTCCCGAGCCCCTCCTCCCCCCCCAAACAAACAGCCCTCCCCACGCCTCGGGAGCCCGGACCGCCCCCTTCCTCCCTCGGCCCGGCGTGTGGCGAGGGGCAGTGTGAAGGAGCGAGCGCGGGCCGGCGGGCGAGCTCCGTGAGTGCGAGAGGCGGGGCGCGCGGCGGGCCGGGCCGGGGTCGCGTGTGCGCGTGGGGGCGCGAGCGAGTGCCCGTCGCGACCCGCCGGCCGCCGCGAGCGAGTGAGCGAGCAGCCGGCGAGCGACGAGCGGCCACCGCCAGCCGCCGAGGGGCGCCGGGCCCGCGCGCGCGCACGCACGCACGCACGCGGGGGCGGGGGCAGGCGCGCGCCCGCCTGTCGCGACAGTCGGGGCCGAGGCCCAGGGGGAGGTGGCCTGTCGCGGGTCGCCCGGCTCCCGGAGGCGAGGGGGGCGCGGGCGGATGGCGGAAGGCGCCCAGCCGCAGCAGCCGCCTCAGCTCGGGCCCGGCGCCGCTGCCCGGGGGATGAAGCGGGAGTCGGAGCTGGAGCTGCCGGTGCCCGGAGGGGGAGGAGACGGAGCCGAGCCCGGCCTGAGCAAGCGGCCGCGCACCGAGGAGGCGGCGGCCGACGGCGGCGGCGGGATGCAGGTGACCGCGCGGGACGGCGCCCCGTTACGGCGGGGGTGCAGTGCGGGGGGCCCCGAGGGCGGCGGGGGCGCTGGGGCCGGGAGGGGGTGGGCCTTGAGGGGTCTTGGCTTGGAGGTGGGAGGGGGCCGGTCGGGGCCTGTTTGGGAGGCGGGGCGGGCTCCTCGGGTTTGGAGGCGAAGGGTGCAGGAGGAGCCTGGGGTGCCCCAGAGGGTCCTGATCCCGGGGGGTGGGCGCGGGCCCCGACGCGTGAATAGGTTTTGGGGGGAAATCGAACATGGTTGAGATGGATTCCATTTCTTCAGACCCTTCCTTAGTTCCTTGGGGTGGAGTGGAAGCTGGGAGACCCCTGGGTCTGTTGCCCGGAGAGCCGCTGCACTGAGTGGGGGTGGGGGGCGGCGGTGGGAAACCTCCCAAGAAGGAGTACCTTTTTGGCCGCCCTCGACAATCACGGGGATGGGGAAGGGGAGCGGCATATAAAGAAGAGTGAAAAGCGAGAAAACTCCTCGAGAGCCCAAAGGGGATGTGGCTTAGCTTGTGGGTTCAATCAGTTACACAAGGAGTGTGAGAAGTACGAGGAGTTTGGTGGTGGTGTGGGGACACCGTGGTGCCCGGTCTCATTAACTTTGTGGAGCGCGCTGATGAGTCTGGAGAGAGACACAGGACATGCCCCTCCTTAGTTTACATGGCAAGGGTGCAGACCAGCTCTTTCATGACCTGGGGCCTAAATGTCCTGGGGTATAGAGCTGTTGGAAGACTGGATTCTGAGTTGGGGACTCGAAGGTGAGCCGGTTGATCTGGGTAGGGAAGGGAAAGGCAGTGGTGATGTCAGTTGACTTTGTAGTTTGAGAAAGCGCTGAAAACCTCCTACCTTTTAGGATTTGGTCTCTGTTCCAAAAATACTTGGCTGTGAGATGGTGGAGCCCACCTACCAGGAGCTGTTTAGAGATCTCTTAGAATCATAGAATGTTAGAGATAGAAGGGACCAGAGACCTCATTTTTTTTTCTCCCAGGGGTTCTTCATCTGGATAGACTTGGAAGATTCGTAGCAGAATGGTTTACTTGCACTTTTTGGTGGGAGGGGGTGTCAGTAGTTTTCGTCTTTGTGGTTTTTCTTTTCTTTTCTTTTTTTTTTTTTTCATCCTTTTTGGACAGGATTCTAGTCTCAGAATGCTTTAACTGCCTCATTTTATAGATGGGGAATCAAAAGTCCAGAGAAAACTAGTGACTTGCCCAAGGCCACCTGGTTAGCTGGTGGCAAAACTAGAGCTAGAAGCCTAGTCGTCTCATTCCTATTCCTGTGCTCTCTCCATTACACCACTCTTGGAAATCCCTGCAGTGCTAAAAGACTTCCTGTGCTCTGCTCCCTGCTTTTCAAGGCTCTGCCTGACTTCCTGTGTTAGAGACCGAGCCGCCGTTAAGCCTGGCGTGGTTGCTGTGTGCTTCTCTGTCTTCTTTGCAGCCGCCACTCTGTTAACGTGTGTTGCTTTGGGTAAAGTGACCCTCTCGATGTTTATTTTTTGAATTCTTTTGTTTGCCTGCTTTTGTTCTCCATCAGAACTCTGTTGGTCAGAGGGATTGGGCGAAGTAAGAGCTCAGGGCCTTGGAGAAAAAATCGAGGAATATGAGGAGACTTCAGGTGAGGTGGGTTACCATCGGCCACCCCGAAGGGACGGCTGGATGTGGGTGCTGGTGAGCAGGGTGGGCTTGGCGTGTGCGTATCTGTGTGTGTCTATATTCATTCATTGTTTCTGTCAGTCACTGGCAAAGTGAGACTCCCTCCCCTCCCTTTCCTCTCCTTTCCTCCCGGGGCCCATTATTTGCTGGTTGCCTTCAAATTGGCTGAGGACAGTAGTATTTGGAAATGGAGCAGTGTGCAGGGACTTTGGAGTATGCAGAGGAAGGAGTGGATTAGGCCCATTGGGTACAAACGGGCAACTTAGAACTATCCCACAGAGAACCTCCTTTTCTTTCTGCATACTTGTGGATCTTTATTTATTTTTCACGTCATGCATTCTCATTGCTGTAGTTCGGATACAGCATATCACCCAGGTATTCAGATCCTTGTTGGTTTAGCCCCCCCACCTTCAACGAGCCGTATGCTTCCGGGAAAATCCCTTCTCTTGGGGACATCTGTTTCCTTAGTTGTAAAATTCAGGGTTTGTACAGGATGATTTCTAATAATCTTCTAAGAAATCTATCAAGTTCCCCTGACCTTAAGGGTCTTGGTGCTTCCATCTGGGTGGAGAGACAACATAGGTGAAACATTAAAAAGAGAGAGAGAGAGAGAGAGCACGCACAGAATATGTGTGTGTATGGTTTTGTGTGTATGTAAGTTCCAGAGGAACAGGAGCAGAGATACCACAGGGTGGATGCATGATGTCACAGGTCATTGCATAATTTAGAGCCACAATAGGCGGAGCATTTGTGCCACTGGGTCCAGAAGAAGGAGAGACTGGTCATTCCTATTGAAATGGTCAAGGAGGGCTTTATGGGAAGGTTGAAACTTGAGGCACAGTCTGAGTAAAGGAAAAAAATGTTCATGAAAAGATAAAATTTGACCCTCGGTGACCTATAGCTCTAGTACTTTGCTGTATCATTCTGATGATAATGGTAGGGTATTTGATATTCATTTAACTAATGTTTATTGAGCAGCTGCTATGGGCCAGGCTCTGTTTTAGAGCCTAGGAGACGTGGCAATAAACAAAACAAAGACTCTGCTCTCGTGAAACTAATAATCTGATGGAAAGAGACAGTAAAGAAATCAACTGTTATTAGGGGGTGGTAAGTGCCAGGAAGAAACTTAAAGCAAGGAGAGGGCTAGAGAGTGAAGAAGGTGGTCAGGGAAGGCCTCTCTGATAGGTGATCTGAGAGTGCAGTGAAGTGAGGGAATGAACCATCCAGATATTTGAGGGAAAGGGGTTCAGGCGGTGGAGGAACTGGGGGTAAAGAGGCATTGAGAAAGAAGTGCACTAGATGTGTGTGAGAACAAGAGGCCAGTGTAGCTGGAGCAGAAGGAGCGGGGTGGGGGGGGAGACAGTCTCAGGAGATGATTGTGGCTGTTTAGAAATGCCCTTAGGCCCTATATAATATGCACTTAAAAAAAATCCAGAGTAGCCCCCCTTTTTATGGGTGTATGGGTTAAAGCACTTTTTTTTTTGAAATTTATTTACTTTTAGTATTTATTTATTTTTGAGAGAGAGGGAGAGAGAGAGGCAAGGGCAGAGAGAGAGGGGGACAGGATCCAAAGCAGGCTCTGCACTGACAGCAGAGAGCCCCGTGCGGGGCTTGAACTCACAGACTGTGAGATCATGACCAGAGCCGAAGTCAGATGCTTAAGGGACTGAGCCATCCAGGCGCCCCACATTTTTTCCCCCTTGTATCTTAACACAAGTGGCATTTTCTTGAGGTCATAGGTCCTTCTAGGAAACCTTCCCTGACAACTGCGGTCACACCAATCAGACTCTCATCTTGCCTCCTGTTATTTTGGTGCCTAATTTTGCATCATCTTGTTTTGTCCCTTGGTCTTATTCTTGTTCCCCTAGTGAGACTGTAAGCCTCTAGAAGACAGGAACTGTATTGTCTTTGTTCTATCCTTTATAATACCTGACAGTTTTAGGTACATAGTAAGTACTTAATGCCTGTGAAGTTGAAATTGAAGCTTTTTACAGATGATTAAGGAATGGAAAAGATCATCAAATAGAGAGTTCTTTTATGAAATTCTTCAGTCTTCTGAATGTCCAAGAATTAACCTTTTGTTACAGGAAGAAATCGTTTCGTGGGGCTAATGTCCCAAGACTGTTTACTGAGAGGCAACACAAAGCTGTAGATCCCAAAGCTGAACCCTGTTGAGTTATGGCCAGTATGCTTTTGGGGTAAATCTTTACTTCCCAAAGTAGAGCACAGAGGACACGAGAGAGTCTGTGTGCTTATGTTTTAATCCTTAGGCTAAGAAGGAACCATGGTGGAGAGAGGAAGGATAGTACTTTTCAAGGTCAGTTTCCAGAAGCTTCATGTGGACAGAAGAGGCATGAGTACAGCTCTGAAAACAGTATAGAAGTAGAGGAGCTCGGGTGGGGGAGGACGGAAGAGACAAATCCAACATAAGAATTGAAATACAGCTTGAGAAATGTACTTAGTTGTTAACGAGGGTGCTGGAAATAACTGCACTCTCGCCTGGTAGAAAGTTAAATGAGTTACATGTATAGGTATGGGAGGTTCATTTCACTGTAAGCAAGTCTGATGTGTATGAAACTCGGGCTCTATAAAACATCCTCGGGAGTGAATTCTTTTGGTCAGCCCTTGTGGTGAATATAGACAGTTTGATGAACAAAAATTCAGTTTTTGTGCGACTTTATAGGAACTTAGCTGCTGTATAAGTAAGGCAAGGTGCACCTTAATTATTACTTGTAGCCTTCAGCAAAATTCTTTATAGCAGTGAAATGTTGGTATGTGATTATTACACGGCCAGCTAACTGCTTCTGACCATCGAGTCATAAATCCAGTTTAGTTAAGCGGGTTCAGCAGTTGTTCATATTAGTGGTTGATTCTGGAAGTAGGAAACCTTTCTTCCTGGACTTAGGGCCAGGCTTCCAGCCAGCCTGTGGTTGCTACGTGGATGCTGTATTTTTTTAAGACTTGATCTTTCCCTTTGCCTGTTCCTGGGTTTCTTTCCTCCCAAGTGGATGATGGCTCTTTGGACTCTTGTTTGGGTATTTGGTGCTGATGCTGGACATGGTGCTACCATTTGAGTAGAGCTATAAAAACAATGTGCTTTCTTTCCAAGTAATTCCATGAATGAGGTCTCACAAAAAATTATTGACTTTTTCATTTCTATTTGTCTTAGTCTCCTTGAGTACCGTAACAAAATATCAGAGACTGGATGGCTTAAACAACAGAAGTTTATTTCTCACAATTCTGGAGGCTAGAAGTCCAGGACCAAGGTGCTGGCAGATCTTCAGTGTCCGCTGAGGGGCTCTCTCCTGGCTTCCTGCTGTGCTCAC